TCCACATAATGTATTCCACTAAGCTGATACTTCAGAGGTCTTTGTCATCTTTGGCTGTGTAAAGTTTTAGCTTCCAGGCCTTCTAGAATGGGATCAGCAGCTTTGTAAGATCTTGAATATTTTATCGGTTCAGATGGTCGTCGTCTTAAGCATCTAATATTACAGAGAATGAACAGTTGTCACCCCAGTTATTTAGTTGTGATCCTAGGGTTCAGAGTAACATAAATTACATTTTCTCTTCTTTGGTGTGAGTTCAGAACTGTGTGCATGTTTTATTTTTGCTCTCAATTCTTCATTTGACATAAGAAAAATGCAGGTAGTCTTTGAGATGATATGCTTTTTAAATTCCATTTTAAGTTTGTAAGATAGATCCCTAACCTGATTAAACGGTACTCTTGTTCAGTGACATGACAATTACTAGTTGGTGATGTACTGTCAGATTTCAAGGATTGTGGAATGTTTTTCAATTCCCTTTACAAATAGTTCTCAGTTGCTGTAAACAGTTACAATCAAAGCATAACTTTATATATAGCAGAAAATTAGTGTAACATCTTAGATGCATTTTCTTTAGTGTCTAGCAATAGTTGTGTGATTTCTATTAGAGGGTGGTTTGTGTCAGTGTCCCATGGTTGTTGTCACCACCCTACCCTCCTCCTGAAAGGAATGTGCCAGTTTTGCTTAATTTCAAGGAAAAGCACCTACTCCTCACTCTGAGTAAGGGATAATCTCAAGTTTGTGTTCATATAACTTTGAAAACAGCATCTATATTTTGTTGCAGTGACTTAAAATAGATCTGTTAGGTGAAAGAAGATGGGCCATTCTCTGAAGTAACGGGTTAGAATCAAGTTGATGTTGGTACCAAGCGCTGGACACCTAATGGTTTGAAATACTACAGAATGTCTGCTGTCCTGTTTTCCTTCTAACTTTCTCTCTTGTTCTTTAAGTTGTCTGAGGTTCATTGTTCTGCTCAATAAAACAGTAGGGCTGGTTTCATGTTGCAGAGAATAGCAGTCAAGTCATAGCTTTCAGGCAAAGCTTGTCTTTGAAGGTTGCTTGATCTAGTGTGGTAAAGGAAGCTCTAGTTGTTCTTGTCTGCTTCAAAAACCTGTATGCAGTGAAGTCCAGAAACAGGACACAGCACATCTTAGTTTGAAAACAACCACTGTTGAAATACTGTTTCTTAAAATCATTAAAGTACAGTTAAAAGCAAATAGAGTAATTGTACAGTATCAGCTTTCACAGTTCTTAGTTCACAGTTGGCTGTCTCAAAGTTCAATTACAGTGCAGGCGACAGTCATGTCTCTTGTGTCATCTGGAGATCCTCAATCAAGCAGAAATACTTTGTTCTGGTTCCCAGAGTTAAGCAGGCTGTCCTGTGTACACTGAAATGTTGTTATACTATTTGCTAGAAATATTGCTGGCTAAATGCTAGAGTATGGATCCTGTTGCACTCTTGACAGATATGTTGTCTTCATGCAGGTTGCACAGGCAATTTTTGGTCAGGTTCTGATACCAATCCATTCACTCTTCTGTCAGCACTATCCTTTTAAAGCCTCTCTAGCTTGGAACAGTTGTCTTGGAATTGCAGAAATAATTCCTTGCGGAAGGTCCTCTGGCAGTGGTCATTTGGGTTTTGGGGAGTGACTGGTGAATACAGTCTTTGGGATCTTTGAATACAGATCTTTGGGATCTTTGAATACAGATCTTTGGGTTTTATGCTTCTGAAAGCAAGTTGAAGGAAATGTTGGTATGGCAACTTTCATTCTGGAGAAACTGCACCTCATCTCAGCTACTATGTCAGGAAGTGCTGCACCTGGTTTCAGCAGATGAAGCATCACTGGAAAGCACGTGGCACAGGCACAAGGTCTACAGTTTGCGATTCTAATGGCATGATTTCAGAGATAGACTGAATGCAGCAACTCAGGCTGTGGAGCAAGCCATTGACAGCCATGGCAACACTGGGAGAAGAGAAGCACTTTCTAGGAATTGTTAATCTCTTCTTGTAGTTTTGAAATTTTTTTTTTTTTTAGATAATCGTACTTCTTGCTTTATAAGGAGTAATTCTGAGAGAGAGAGTTTGTATGTCGTAAGTGTCCTATCATACCTCTGTGTTATGCAGTGCTTTTTAGCTATCTGATCTTTTGTGATGGCTTTTTTCCTCAGTATAATGCAAAAAGAATGAGGTGGGACTTATTTTATAGTGTTTGTACGCTGACTTGTGGTGTAGTTGTTCCTTTTGCTATGAAAATAATATTACAATAACCTTCAAAATTATTTTTTTTATTATAAGACAATTAAACATCCTAAATGGAAGTAAAAATAGCATTAAGTTGGTAGTGCAGAATTATAATTCACATTGGAAGAAGTACATATAATTCAAACTAGGTATCAGCTTTTTACTGTGTAATGTCATAAAAATGGGAAAGGTTTTACTAATGTTATTGAATGTGGAATACAAGTTAAATTGGGTTTGTGGTACATCTTAGGTTAGTGGATTAAGTTTAGGACTTGATATCTCTTTAGGATTATAGCCAGCACTACAAATCTTCAGTGTGTTAATGGAGACGCAGTGTTTCTCTGTGTTCCACTCTCTATCTTCCTATTCAGTGCCAAGAATATGGCAGGATTAAATGACTGTTTTGCTTTCTAGAAGGGTGTTCAAATGAAAAGCCTTCTGGTGACAGCTCTTAAAGGATGTGAGATGGTAAAAACTTTCTGTAGTACGCCATAATAGAAGACTGAAATCGGTGAATTCTCAGAGAAAAATTTCTTCCCACTTAGAGTTCAGCACTTAGCTAGTATCCAGAGAAGTTCTATGTCCTGAATCTCTTCAGTGGCATCCACTGCTTCATTAAAACTGTGGACACTCTAGTCTGGTCTCTGCAGGATAGTCCCTGACTCATGCTGTCCTTGGCAGGAAAGACACGGTTTTGAAACTGTATACATTCAGTACCATTCTCAGTACTTGTTAACAAGAGCAATATGTAATACTGAGTTGCTTCAAGACAGACTGCTTTCTGACTCTGACAGGACATACTGTAATTATATAGACACTAACAGTCTAGATTTGCCTTACCTGCTATTACTCTTTCTTGGCA